CGTGAATTTTTTGCCTTTTGGAAATACTAACAGAGCTGACTGTTCTTCTTAACATGGTAGTTTCTCATCTTCAGCCAAATGCTGTCCAGAGAGTGTCTGGGCCACCAGGCAGGGAGTTTCCTTTCTCCAAAGCCCAGCACTGTTGTAGGACTCCTCTTAGGCCACTACTCCTCAGGAGGAAAGAGCAATACATCTTTTCATCCTCTGCCTCTCGCCTTATCTTGTCTCTCCCTTTTTCCCTTCTTTCAAATTGTGAACCTGGGGCAAAGGATTCTGGCGTTCCCCCCCCCCGCCCCCCCGGCTGGTTAGGTATACAGTGGCATCTGTGCCCAAAGGGCATGCAGCTGTCACCTGGGAGAGGCTGTGGAGGTTGTTGTGTCCCCCTCAAACCATGCTGACTGTAGGTCTCTTAAAACTCGGAAGCAGTGCTGGCCCTTCTGGCTCATCTCGTTATAGCAGCAGGGGAAGATATCTTTCATTTCAGATCTTGAAACGTAAGGGTTTTAATAGCCTGGGGTCTTTGAGAAGCTGAAGACATCTCTGTCCAGAAGGTGCTATCACCTTTCCAAAACCCCTTTTCAGGCTTGAAGGACACAAACTGGGCCTTCTCCTCAGCAGTCCTCAAAGGAGATCTAATGAACCCTGCATGTGGGGCAGGTGTTGGTATTTAAACCAGAACCACTGATCAGCGCAGGGTTGAATGCAGCCCTCAAGTTTAGTGTGTTCAGCACCTGTGCCAGTTACACTGGGAACAGGTTTCTGGCCTTCTCCAGCAGCCGGCTCATGGTATTTCTTCCTTTAAATTTGAGGTTTAGGAAACTAGCCTGGAATGAAGATCCTGTTACCCTGCACTGCTGGGCACTGACCGGACATGAGCTCCGTGCGCTGCTGAATAGTCTTCAGAGGGTGGAATTTTGCAGCATCACTTGCCACAACTTGCTTTGAAGCTGATCAGTTTCCTCATGCATCTGTGATCCCTAATGGAAAAAAATTGACACAGAGAGTCGCTGTCCACTTGTAGAAAGAGGCAAACAGCCGCGAGATGTCAAAGATTGTCAGAAAGATAAGCTCTATTTTAAGTGGTATAATAGCTCAACCACATTTGGTAGTGCCTTCCTCCAAACAGTTATGTAGTTGCCCTCAGCTTATGTTTGTGTGTAAAATGGGAGAGAGGATGAACGGGTAGGAGGGGAGGAAGCTCAAGAGATAACTAGACTCTAGGACAGAACGTAGCCAGGGGGTATTTTAACAGGTTCATGTGTGATGCTAAATGGGGAAAAATCGCTAGCATTCAGGTCAGCTGGAGTCTCCCTGCCACACACTTTTGCATTTTTCTATTGTCGTGTCCCAACAAGGCAGGTCTGCCCAGGAGCTGTGGGCCCAGCTAGGGGCGGTCAGGGGTTTCTGCGTGCTGCTTGCTTTGTTCCTTGCAGCTGTGGCAGCCGATGGATCAAGCCAGGTACATGTTACGCAGCAGGGAGCCTGGTGCCTTAGTGGCACTACTCGTGTGAGAATGGAGGCCGAGAACTGCCTGCTCTGCAGCTCTTAATGCAAAGAGTAGTGACCTTGACCAAGAGAGGAGGGTTGGCATGAACAGATTCTCTCAGAAAGACAGAATTTCATTTTTTCATCTTCCATCTGCATCCATGTAGGGCTCCCTTGTACAACTTCACTTTAGGTTGCACATGGTTTCGCTTATGGAAAGTTTTACTTTTTGTGAAAAAAGGTAGCAGGAAGGCTAACTTTTCCCATGCATTAGGGGACCTCCAGCCCTGTGGTTGCCTCTGGTCCCTGTTTTTTCTCTTAGCTGATCGCTCATCTGTTCTTGACATTAGCTGGAGAGCACTGTGTAAGCCAGACATTTCTCTTTACCTCGCACTAAATGTTTCTGTATATCCAGTTACATCTGTGTAATTTACAGCCCTGGGAGCACTTCAGAATTTCTTACCTTCCTACAACATTTGCTGGCAGGTGATGGGTCAGATATCTGACACACAGCTTGTCCCTGGCTGACGTTATCGAAGGGGCTGTCGTAGGGTCAAGAGCAGTCATCTCTGCATTTTGGGCTCGAGGGTTCTTTGAGCATCCTGACTTCGACGTGAACTAAAATGTCTAATACTATTTTTATTTGTGAATCCATTTTGCGCCCATGAAAGTCAAATAAACAAATAAAGAGTGGTCCTGAGTTTTAGCTGATACAGTGCAATGCGTGGACTTTCTTCCTAACACTGTCATTCCCTGCTGTCACTGAGTGTCTCGCTAGATCAAAAGATGATACATTGTATGACATGGAAACTATTTGCTTGTGAAATACCACCAGAACTTGAAGTCTGGTCTTCAGAGCTGAAAAAACGAAGTGAGCGTCCCATAGCTGACCTGCTGTTTGGACACCAGTCAGTACGAGGTCTTTTGCAGGAGTGGCAGAACTGCTCCAGGAGACATTACATGGCTGTAGCAGGAGTAGGCTGGAAGAGAGGTACAGCTACGATAGAATAACCAATAGAATTAACCAGAATTAACAGAATAACCAATTAGCAGTGGGTAATTGAAAAAATGTGCCCTTACAAGCACATAGCGATTTATAAGGCATAGTTTCCACCCCACTCCCCTTGTGTGATCAGAACTGGAGCAATGATGTGTATTTTTGAAAATCCTGTACATTCTCTGCATTTTCTTCTTAAAAAGCATTATGTATCTACAGGTTTACAGTGGCAATACCAATGACAAAATATTACCATTATCATGCCTTACCTTGAAGTATTCGTTTGTTCCGATTGCCAAAATTTAAGTTCTCACAATATGCAAATCCACGTGTAGGTGCCTGACCAATGGACCTAATTTTGTCCACTCGTTTGCTTTGAAAACTTTGAGCAGATGTTTTGAAGAATGATGCAGGAGATGCTCTAAGATGTGTCATAGCAGGAAAAAATCTGTTTAGTCTAATTTTGTAAAGCTTCCCTTCCCTGCCCCCGTAATTTGAAATCCTGTGTAAGTGCTGTGCCTGAAAACCAGTGTGGCAATTTGTGAATTCAGCCCAGGCTGCGGATCAGCTGGAATAAGAGGAGACAGCAGAGAGGTTTGCCAGCTGGAGAGCGGGTGGTGGTGGAGGATAGTGCACTTTTTGAACTATTGTTTGAACCGACAAAGGCATGTAAGGAATGGGATTTGGTTGGGTCTATATGCTTGCTTTCCCCTCCTAGCCTTTGCCGTGGATGTTTTTCCTTATGACAGGAACTGGGGGAAGTCTCAGGCACTGGGTTTTGATTGGCAAGTGTCTGTCAAGGGCTGGGCTTGGGGAGGGGATGGTTGAGAGCTCCCTGCTGCTTGGCTTGGGCTGGGCTGGGGAGGGGGCCCGCAAGAAGCAGCGGCACCAGTGGCGAGTACCTCCTTCCCCTAAGGGGGGCTTGGCTTGAAAACTGGGGTGAAACCCCATGGTGAAACTGCCTAAGTGGAAGGCGGGTGAGTAATCAAACCCATCCTCTGCTGGATCAATGAATTTTGACTCTTTCTTTATTTCGCTGAGCAAATTGAACAATAAAACCAGATTTTTTTGCCTTTGTCATTTTCATGCACTTGGATGTTTCTGGAATGTTTGAATTGATTTTTCACTAAATACTGTTCTCTATGTTTGTGTGTATATACATATATATAAAAATATTTAAATCACAGCATGATTTCTTGTCATCGTAGTGTTACCAATACTTGGTTTATGCGTACATTATCCTCTGAGCTGAAGGTAACCGGCAGTGAATGCTCAGTGGAAGGACCTTGTCTGTCATTGCTGTTTGAACCACATGTTCCTGTAGAAAGTGGTGGGGTTTTCTTCCTGAACTCTTCATGCTAATTAGCTGGCAAAGCTACCTTGTATGAAGTTACAGGTGTTTAGTTGCAGCTGTGTTACTTTCAAATACTGTTTATTCCAGATACTCAAGTGCTCTCTGGCATGGTCCAGCAAACACTTTTAGTGGGTCTAATGCTTAATAGTATGAAAAGTCAATGAGGTTACATATGTTAATAAGCAAGAGGGCTGAGCTGAGGCTTGAGTGCAAGTTGGGTAGTATCAGAACTGCATTTCTGATATTTTAGAAATATTTCTTCTTAGCACTAAATAGATATAGGTTACTATTATTGGTACATATGTCTGTTTCTGTGCCTGCATGTCCAACATTAACAGAAAATATATTTCTTATTTATTAAAAGATTCAGTCACCGAGAAGTGTGTGATTAGATGCTAATCTGACTAGTATGATAACTGAGTAAAAAATAGCAGTCTGGTTTTAAGCATGGTAAAAATGTATTCTTTGCCCAACACCCAACACTTTGCCAATGGTGTCTTCATATAAAGCAAATTTCAAGCACATAATCTCTATCAACCTTATATATGTTCATTGCGATTGGGGAGCCTATGGTACCTATCGGTATTGCACTCTTCTATCTGAGCATGAGGTTTTAAGTCAAAATGTAATGGGATTGTTTTACTTTTTGTGAAGAGCTTGTCTTGTTTGTAACATGGCAAAATGTTATCATACAGGAACAAAAGTGCGATGCAACATTTTCATTTATGGTAAAACGATGTGATATAGACTGATAGGTACACTGGGATAAAAGTATCTCATGATCTCTATAGGCATTTACTTGTCGTTTATTTTATAGTTTCTTTACAATAACATTTTTTTTTTCTTTACAGGAAGAAATTTACTATATAGCAGCATTCATATTTGAAGGCTGCTGCAAGAAAATATAAACCAGATGCAGTTACTTTATTAATAAAAAGCCAGTGTAAAATATATGTACTATACGTGAGGGCATATATAATCCTTGATCTTTGTGTAAAACAGCATTAGTGGGAAGTTGTGCAGTGTGATGGCTTTGATCCAGGACTTGCTCAAATCAGTGGTATACTGCCATTGACTTAGGACACTGAATCAAACTTCTAATTCTGGGGAGTTCTGAATCTTTAGATGTTTTCTCACAAGTTCTTTTCTTTCTTTCCCTTTTAGGAAAACTCTCCTTTTTATTGCAATATGTATAACTGTGGGTGTTGCACAAGTACCCAAGCAAGGTGAGAAATCTTTTTTTGTAACAGGATATTTGTATAATCTGTTACTAGATTTAAAGAGTAAGTGGCTGCTGTTACTAGTGACCTTAGGTTCAGTTCCTTAATGGTGACTTAAAGAAAATACCAGCTACAGCATAATGAGAGCAAAAGTTTAAAGCAACCAGTTTGGAAAAGATGACCTTTTGAAAATTACTCAGATTTTCTGTCTACGAAATTACTTGCATATTTAAGCAAGCGCTTCATAAAAGAGAAGCCTTGTACAGTGAAAAGGCTTTGATTGTGTCTTCCCTGCAAGTGGGTGTCCTTGGGGGTGGCAAGCTGTGACTGAGTTACCTTTGCACTTGGGGCTGTTCAAGCAAACCACTGCATATAATAAAGGCTTAGTCTAGGCTGGCATCATTGAAGCAAAAAGTGAAATTTTGTATTCATTTGGTTTTGCGTTCAGATGCAGATGCTTGTGAGGAAATAGGGTTGTCTTGTTTTTAGTTTCTTTTTTGATCTGCCAGCTGTTATAACTGCACCAGATGTGCAGCTTGCACTAGAGACCGCTGTGGGAATGCGAACATCCCGCACAGGTTCATGGCTAACATGCCATTTGGTCATTTCGTATCTGCCAGGGAAGTGGCAGATATCAGCTCTCTGCCGTGTCCCTGCACTGTACAGGTGAAGTGAGAAACAGGCCATCCTTGGCTGGGAAGTATGTTAACTGCAAACACTCAGCTGTTCAGTATTCACCAACAGCTGGGTTACATGGTGAAGACAAGGCTCATTCCTGATAACGTTTTGGTAGAGCCCTGTGGGATATCTCAGCTCACCCATGCCTTTTTCCTTCTCATTATTCCCTGCGACTGGCAAAGCTTGGTTTTTTCTTCAGGGTTTTTTTTCCTGTTCTCTTTGTAATTTTGCCTTCCATTAGTTGTTTGTTGTTTGCCTGGTAAGATTGGTTGTTGATTTTTCACATTCAGCTCAATGGGGGACATATGTTTTCGTGATGATGGGATTTTTCTGGATTTTTCTAACTGCTGAGCCAAGCCCTCATCAGAGGAGGGGCAGTACCCAGAGATGTGTGTGGCCTGCGGGGATGGAAAGGGAGAGGCTGTTTCGGGGAGGCAGCTTGCACTTCTCTGGTGTAGCAGGAGCAGGTGAGGGATGCCAGAGACAGGTGTGCAATGACGGGTTGTCTTCATCCCTCCAGCCCGCCTTCCTCCTCTGCAAAGAAATAAAAAATTTGTGTTACTTCTTGTGTGCCTCAGTCTGAGAATTGCTTTATTTTCAGCCGAGGACTGTGCAGGCTACAGGGCTGGGGGGTGGCAGTGGCACAGGGGAGTGGGTGCAGTCTGAGGCTTGTTTGCCTCACAGCTGAGAGCACTGCTGTGCACAGAGCTTTGCAGAAATGGGGCAAAGCCTCCAGTCTTGACATGCTTATCTTTGATTATTTTTCATTTTGTCACCAGCAAGTGAAAGCGTTTTTATTGCTTTTTTTTTTTTATTTATTTTTATTTTCTTTATTACTCTGCAGCATTTCTAGGTAGCCATATGAGAAGCCTTACTGAATGGAAACTCCCCTCCACCCTCCATGCACAGATCCCATACATGACTTCATTTTCTTTAAGTTCTTGCTTGGGATCAAAACAATGCATTGAACCTTGATGCAACTTTCTGTCCATGGGTGAATTTGATCACTCGTGCACTTTATTTGCACAGTGTCTTAACAAGGTTGCAAAAAGCAGTTCAGAGAACAGCACGGTGAGGAAACCTCCTTCAATAAAGTGCAGTCTCGGTATATAATCAGCAGAGCTAGCACCATTTCATTTGCAGTGCTTAGAGTTTGTCTAGGAACAGGATTGTCAGCCCATTAGGAATATGTTAATGCTTAAGTTTTCTTGGCAGTTATCTTTTGACAAAAAGAGCATTCTGCCAAACAAGAAGATGCTGGCTATTGTAATTAATGTTCCTTCTCTCCTGAGCTGATGGGACAGCCTGTGCATACTTTACCTGAGAAGCTATGCCTTGTTCATTTTGCTAGGCTGCTACAAATTGTGTTTGGTGAAATATATGTAAATATAGATCCTCAGCCTTTAGGATCAGTACTTTGAGCGTGGCTCAAGGACGTACAGAATTGATGTATCTGGTTGGCTTTCCTATGCCAGTCATTCAGCCTATAGTCCGGGGCAGCACTGCTTGCAGCCAGGTATCTCGATTTAGCCAACTGCCAATGCAGCATCACCTAGGAAATGGGCAACCGGATGAGTAACTACTCTCAGTTCTGGTGGAGCTGACTGATGAATGACCCTTGTCTTTCCCTTACCCATACTGGTAAAGGGAAAGTGAGTGATGTGTATACTAGGATTGCTGAAATGGAGAGAGCACCCCAAATATCCTGCCTTCAGAGTAGTCATGAGGGTGGAGGAATGTGGAAAATGTACAAGAGAGACTGAACAGAATGGGAGTGTGGAATGATTAAATAGCCAAATCCTCTCACCCCTCCCCAGTTCCCTTTTGGGATTTTTTTGTGCCACAGAAGAGTCAGAAAGTTTTTTACCAAAACCCATGTTAGGTTTTCCCTCCCCTTATGATACTGCAAGGTTGTGAATTTTTCAAGTCCTCCTAGAAGGTGGAAGGAAAGCACTTGACATCAAAAACCCCAAACAACTTTTCCTTCAAGAAGATGAGCCATTACAATTTAGGGGACTAATGGGTTGAGTGAACAGTAGGTGAAGACAAATGTTGCGCAGACATGGGTAAACAAAGAAAACTGACTACTGATATGTAAAGAAAATAGTGGTTGTCAGGCTGGGAGGAAGAGTTGAGAGGGTTGCCTGCTTACAAAACCCTATGTACTGCCAAGAGCTTCTGAAAGCCTTAAAATAAAATAAAAATACATGTTGGACCAGAAATGAAACAACTGGCCAAAAATGTTTGGAACAGCCTTTTGGCTTGACGGTGAGTTAACAGGCAGCAAGTCAGCAAGGAATAATTAGTTGATACTTAATCTTTTGCTGTCATTTTTTCACAGAGCATTTATTTGTGTTTAGCTTTCTCAGGACCTGTCATTGTTTGCAGAAATGGATTTGCAGGACATGGAGAACGTGTCTTATTTCTCATCACACTTTTGGATGATTTTCCTTTTTTTAATATCTTTTAAGCAATGCACTGTTTTCAAATCAGAACTGCCAAAATTTTGGCAATTTTGCTCGCAGTTTGAGATTTAGTAGCAATACTCTTGAATGTCATTTTTAAATTGACTGTTTTAAGCCAGTTTAAACTTAAACTTTTTGTTTTATACTTCAGTTTATAATACTTGTGCATTGTTATTTTTAAATACAAGTATATAATTACAAATATTTTAAAATATTTTATAATTAAATATTTTATAAAATAAAATAAATATATTTTAAATACAAATATATAATTACAAATATTTTAAAATACAAGTACTTGCCAAATTTTTCAGGTTAGGATGTGATATTCAGGCACAACCTTAGGTTAGATTATTAATTATTCTCCTCTGTGCAGTCAGCTAGCCCAGCCAGCGCACAGAAGTGCTGCAGCGGTTTTTCCAGCCTTGGGGTATTATTTGCATGTGTAAGACCTCTGCATTGCCCAGAGCTTGGGACCTGTGTTTCTTCCTGGCTTTCACAAGGGCAATGCAAGTACAGCTTTCTCCTCCATGACTACATGCAGGCCACGCAGGACCAGGGTCCTGGGAAGATGTGGTAGTTCATGAGCAGATGCGCTGTGCTTCGAAGTTCTACTGTAACTTGACCTCTGTTATCAGTTTGACAGATAAAAATACAGCCATAGTAAATTAATTGCTCTGAGGCAAAACATCTTGAGAAATTGGCGTACGCATGACTTTCTGCAAGGATATGCTTCCCCCATACCTCCGGCTGCACTGGCTACCCGCCAGGATAATCTTGGCATGTCCGTGAATCTCAAACATGACTAGAAACACTACAAGGTGTGTAATTAAGTTTCAAGATGTACAGTGCATGCAGGTTGATACTTTTGGTTCCAATTTATAAACCATTCTCAAGGAAATCTCAAGCTCTTTTCATAACTTACCACTGAAACTAAGCCAACATCTGTCTATTCTTAAAGTTTGCTATGAATACATTCAGTAAACAGAGACAGGAAAGACTGGGAAAGGAGACCTTTTTTCCACTAAAAGAGTGAACATCCGTTTGTTTCAGTTGCTCTTTTCTCTTAATATAGTAGAAAATCCATAACTCTTCTCAGTTACTCCAAATTTTTATTATGCCTTTTAATAGCTTTAATTAATTAATATAAGCACAATGGACATAGTAAAAGTACCCTCAGGTAAATACTTTGGAAAGTGCCAGTCTCCTCCCAGACAGGCTTGTTGGATCAGTGCAACTGTTAGACACTACTAGTCATTTTTAATATAGGCAGTTCACTGAAGCTCAGGTCCAGCCAGTTCCAGTTAGGGGGAAAAAAAAGATGGTATCATATTCTGCTGTGCAATTCTGTTTATGAAGACTACAATGTTCAGTTTTCCCTTGTGCAGAAAATCGGAAAATGTAGCTTAGAGGGACCTTGAACTCGTCTAGTCCTGCCTCCTGCTGAGATCAGGGTCAATGCTGAAGTTAGTTCAGGTTGTTAGGCCCTGTTCGGCTGGGCTTTGAAAATCTCCAGGAATGAAGATTACACAATGTCTCTGGCTCCCTAGTCCAGCACTTCACCACTTTTGCAGTGAGAATGCTTTTTCTTTGTAGGCGGCTGGAATTTCTTGTGTTGCCACTTGTGCCCGTTACCCCTCAGCTTTTATTCTGTTTTCCCTATAGCTCCAATTCAGATAATGGATAGTTGTAATTAGACTCCCCCCAACCTTCTCATCTCCAAGCTAAGCAAATGTAGTTCATTTAGCCTTTTCTCATGTCGTGTGTTTTAGCCCCCAACCTTCTTGTTTCATGTTTCCATGACTGCGTTTTTCTCAGTCTATGCAGTATTTCTGTGGCACCTTTCACAAACACCCAGACAAGCAGTTTTACCAACCAATGCTACAAGTAGTGCTGTCTTATTTTGCAACCCTGCAGGAGGACTGCTGGGGACGTGCAGTTTAGCCCCTGTTCAAGCCTTTGTAGTGTTTCTGTTTCAGCTGCATCATAAGAGAACTAATGGTGTCTTGATAGTCACCCTGGAGGAAGAAGGTGCTTATGCCCACTGACTCCAACATGCCTAAATCTGATTTAGGCAACACCAAATGAATTCGGTCCTCTTTGACCATTGATTTACCCATTAGGAGGAAAGTGGCTTTGATTTCTTACCACAGGTCAGATATAATTTCAGTTTATCAAGAGGCTAGATAATTGTGTTTCTATCCATTAGGTGAAGATATTTTGCCGGGTAAATGATGGAGATATTGTAAGATCCAGGCTAAGGAAAGGGCTAAAGCACAATGCTCACGTTATATAAGACACTAGAGAGTCCAATAGTGAAAACGCCACAGCCCATTCTGCCCTGTGGGAGGATATCCTGTCCAGACTTCAATATGCCAAAGCCAAATCTATAGGATGTAAATCTATAGGACAGCTGGTTTCTCTGTCTCCTTAATGTCCGGTGCTGTCTCCTGCTGTGGAGTGCACTCTTAATTCACTGTCATGCCTGGGTAGCTGCAGCCCTGCATTTTCTAGGAGGACAGACAAGCCAGAAGATGAGAGCACTGCCCTTGGGTCCTGACATCTCTCCTCTTTTCTTGCTCCTCACTGCTTCTGCTTCTTCAGAGTTCGCCTCATTCATGGCGCTGACAAATAAACTGTGTAGAGGGAAATGAGGCAGCAGCGCACTTTCCCCTTGGAAAGATCTTTGTTTTCTTTTAGTCTGACTAACTTTGGCACAGATACATACAATCAAGGGTGATCCCACTGGGAAAACAACTCCCTCTGAAGCCAGGTCTGTAATGGCACAGAGCCTTGCATGGCAGGAGGAGAGCTCCCTGGTGGAAGCACAGCAGCTCTTCCCGGGTACCAGTTGCATTATCTCTGCAGCTTGTAGCAGCTCCTCGGCAAGGCTTACCTCTGTATTTTGCTTTGAGCCAGTGACTATCTTTTGGTGCTCCACTGAGATGTTACTGCAGTATAAATATCTTGTCCATTCTTAAAAACAAAGCAACTCTCCCTCCAGATGCTTTCATTAAACTTCTCAGATAAAGAGGAAAAGCATGGTTTTATTGCAGAAGGCTTTTTCAGAAGAAAAAGGGAAATTTAAAAAAAAAATTATCGGCTCAAAGAGTAGGCAGAAATAGCCAAATAAGGAACTAACAAAGTGTGATTATTGACTATTATGAAAAGGCTGAAGACAGCAAATAGGAACTTTTCAGTTTCATAAATGAATTAACCTACCATGGGCATTACATGAACCTTTCTGTATGTGTGCTTGGGGTGTTGTTTTTAGTTGTTTTTAAGATGGAAATTTTGTTCTGGCTTTAATTATTTGCTTGATTTATGTGAAAGACTGATGTACCTTACACTAGGGATTTGGTGGCCTTGCTGTGTGCAGTATATATGCTCCGGGAAGTACAGCTTTGTTAAAATGTTGTGCATATATTTGTTTATATGGATCTGAATTTAAGAGCTTGTAAATGAAATCAACAGTATGCCTTTATTTCTTTTTACAGCAATAGATGTTCTTCATCAACTAGGCCTTGTGAAAGATGTTCAGCTGCCCTCAGAAACGACAGTGCCCTCAGCATCATCTCTGTTACCTCAGGGTGTTCATCTAACTGCATCAGGAGCTGTACTAACTAGTGATGCACGTATTGAGTCCCCCATCACTCAAGTCATACCATCCAGTCTGGGGCATCAGTTCACCATATTGGTTGGGTTGTACTCTTACAGAGTAAATAATGCTTTCCTCTTCAGCATTAGGAACAAAAGTAGGCTGCAGTTTGGTGTCCAGTTGCTACCGAGAAAGGTAGTGGTGTACACTGGAGGGAAGCAGTCCATATACTTTGATTATAGTGTTCATAATGAACAATGGCATTCTTTTGCCATTGACATTGGAGACAAGACTGTCTCAATGTTTGCAGAGTGCGGAAAGAAATACTATAGCAGGGAAATACTTTCTGAAGTGGAGACATTTGATCTGGACGGTTTATTTACCCTGGGAAGGATGAACTCTCACTCTGTCAGTTTTGAAGGAGTTATATGTCAGCTAGATATTATTCCCTCTGCAGAGGCCTCTGCAAACTATTGTAAATATGTGAAACAGCAGTGTCGCCAGGCTGAAACGTATCGATCTCTGCTAGGAGCTCCACATGTGTCAGATGGGCTGGATATTTTTTCGAAGATGATGATTGATGAGAAAAAACAGTCAGAGGGTATATCAGCTTATAGATGGAAAGAAGCGTCAAACATTCCTGTTACCAGCATGGCTCAGATTCACTTTCTACCAGAATACTTTGAGTCAAGAAATATCTCTGCATTGGAGTTTGCAGAGGCCAATCCTCTGCTGCTGGAAGTTTGGCCTGAAGCAGCACTCCAGGAGAACGTCGATCTGCCTCTTCATCAGCAGGAGACGACAAGCAAAAAAAGAAACATCACTAAATCCCACACAGGATCGTATCCAGATAATTCCACAGAAGATGCGGGCAGACAAAGTGAGCCTTCTCTGATCTCCCCTGTAAAACAGAGTGAAACTAAAAGCAAGGGAATGGACAATGCAAAACAGCGTTTAGATGAACCAAGCAAAAAGCAGCATGTCTTCAACACAACCCTGTACAGCTTGCCTGCTGACCTCTCTCTGGATAATGAACTCAGTCCAGAGCGGGAAGGTGCATTTGATGCTGATGAGACCTATCACATGGAAAACAGTTATGAAATTGGTATTGATAATTATGCTTATGACTATGAAGATCTTGACAAAATGTTTGAAATGGGGAGTGTCAGAGGTCCAAAGGGGGAAACTGGACCTCCTGTAAGTTATCTTTACTACTCTTTTTACTATAATGCAGCAACATACATTTAGCAGGGGCTTGGAAAGAAACTTTGCAAAGCATGCCAGAGCTGTGACTGCAACTTCTCCCGCTGTACTGTACAATCGTTTGTCTGTCTTTAGTATGTCTCTTTCCCGCAAGTAATTTTGATGTAAGTGTTGCCTATTTTTATTTACTGGCAGAATGCAAAGACATTCAAGACATTCACATTCTGGTGAAGTGGTGGGCAACCCGGAGTTCTTTAAGATTTGGAATGCAGCCAGATGTTTGTAACTGCTAATTATGGAGACTGCTCACTTAATAAAATTACAGGATAAATTCATACAGTACACAAATGTAGACACCGATCTGTGAAAAGAACAACCAGGCTGTTTGGAAGGCTGACATAGTTTTCCCAGTTGAGCAATGCTATCAAAATTGTAGGAGGAGACCCGTTGCAGAATCTAGTCCAGTAAAACTGTTTGTAACCCAAGGTTATGGGATCATGCAAACCTGCATGTAAAATGATTTTTAGAACAGTCTTACAGGATTTTGTGGTATTTCTTCACTGTGCAGGATACGTGATCCCTGAAGCCGTTGCAAATGCACAGTAGTGCTTTTGATAGAAACCCATTTGTCCTTTCCTATTGTGTGCAAAAGGCTCAAAATTTGTAATACACAAAAATGGAAGCAACATATATGAAGCTACACACAAGAACGAACAGCAGTGCCTGTTTAGCCTGAGAAATATGATAGTGCTTGTTTGAGTTTTTGGCTAAATTTTTTTAAACCACAGCGTGGAGTAGATAATTGCACTTGCTGATCTTTTTTTTGTGTGTGTGTGGTTATTACTGCAAAGCAATTAGATATGTGTTAAGCAGCTCCGAATATATATTTGAATGTGCCTATAAACTTATTGCGTGTATTCTTTCAGCACTGAAATATTTTTTTCTTAAGGTAGTCAGTAAAGGAAAGCCTATAGAAAAGTTCAATTTTTACTCTAAACAGGATCCAGATGCAAAGGGATTGTTACACAACTGAAAAATGTGTTAACAAGTAATTCATGTTAGTCCAGGGGTGCTCTTGCTTAATCTTTTCTGAATGTGAAGTCAGTCTTTTTTTTCTCTTTTTGTCCCTTGCGGTAGTATTTATGGGGATATCACTAAGTATGTAGCTGTCATCAGCATAAGGTTAATTTGCATTTCTGGAGCTTAAGACATTTAGTAACTGCTAATGGAAGCTTTAGATTTTAGCACATAGCTTGTACATTGTCATTTCAGACAGTTACAGCTAAGTTAAATCAATTCTTTTTTACATGGCAGAGAAGTGGCTGCTGATATTGCTGTTGGTTGTTTGCATTACTACGAAACTCCAAGGAAACGCTCTGGTTTTTTTCTAGACACGGACTCTATACACATAGTGTCAAAGAGGACATCTGATTTGGAGAGTTTAAAGATATCTGTATTACCATTTTCTATGCCTCTCTTACAGACTGGGGACACAGCAGTTTGTCTCATCTAGGAAGGCAGTTAGAGCAGACCTTGTGTTTAGTGTGGTCTGTAGCAACAAATACGGTGCATTTGTGCTGAAGTCTTCTGCTGGGTCAGAGTTTAAATAACATGCCCAAGGTCTTGGAGGTCTGTGGCAGAGCTGGGAAGTTGATGTGGAGCTTTGTGGGCACTAGCCTGGCAGAAGGGGACAGCAGCACCTGCTGAAATGGAGGCGAAGCTAAAGCATTGTGCTGCCAGAGAGATTGATGCTAAAGGGAGAAAAGGCCTCCGCATGGCCCTTTCCACACAAGCTTTGGTAAAGAATTGTCCTCCATGGAGGCTGCGTGGCACACTACCTGCCATGGCTGTTGGCCTCGAACTTGAAGAGATGATCTTGGTTTGCTTTCTCAGTCTAGTACACCCGTGTAGAGAAAGAAGTCTAGAGATAACCTAGCTTTTACCTGTGTGGCTGTAGCACTTTAATACGTAAGTACCCACAGAGTCTTATCAGTGGGGAGCCTGAAAAAACAACACTGAGGAACTTCCATGTTCCCTTGCAGCAAAAAATCCTGATGAGTTATGAAAACCTGGCGCTTTTTTTTTCTTCTTTCATTATGTTGTGGTTGGTTTGAACCTTGTTTCAAGATTTCAGCACAGAAATAATGTTTGTTCTGTTGGAGTCGACTGGTAAGAACTAGCTTTTGTGGTTCTTAAACTCCTTAACTTCATTTTAGCTTTTAATCATCTACCAGAACTGATTTTTGCCTTGCATAATTAGGCCCTTTGTATTCCATGATCCCACAGCTGTGGACTTCATCTATTGCTGCAAAGCAGGGCTCCAGAATTCAGGCTTTCATTTATGGATAGCATATGGAAAAGGACACCTATTTCTTCAAAACTGTTAAGACCCTGCTGAAAATTCTAGCAGTGGCAGTGACCAAAATCCCCTACAAAAATATAAACTGGTTTTAAAGAGGAGCGGTGTGATCTCCTGAACCACTAGATTAGAGGGAAAGCTGCTCCGTTCATCTGATTTTTGTGTTGCAGAAGGTGCTGGCATTGTTTAAAGATTAAAAAATTAAATAAATCTGGTGTGTATTTTTAACTCTTTAACTTTGAAATGATATTCTTGATTGCACAGTCCTAAAGCAGTTTGCAGTGACAGGATACATAGTCCCATACTGGTAGAAGCAGAGGCTGATGTGAGCTGGAGAACTGATTGAGGCTGCTTGCTGGTAGGTAATGGCATCTGCAGGCCTATCTGCACAGGACTTGGCTTCCCTGAGAAATGAGCTAGGAATTAGTTTCCTCTGTTGGAAAAGCTTACTGGATTATAGTCTTAAATATTTAAACATTTCTTTTAATTCACCTGAAAATGATGCCGTTTCCTTACTTTCTGCACAGTACTGAAAAGCTTTAATCCATAACGCAAAGCCATACATATATATTCCTGTGATGTCGATGACATTGCTTTGGCTGTTGTAGGAGTTCTTGACAGAGAAAGGGAAGGACTTCTACAGCTGTAAAGAAAGGAGGTTAACCATAAACAAGTGACTGCCTGCTCTAGGGCATCTGGAAAGAGGCATGTGGGTTTTTATACCGCTTCCAGTGAAATGCAGATGAAACGAGAAGGAAAAATAGGTGGATGTTATGTTTGGTAGGATCCTAGTTGCTCAATAATTACATGGATACCTGTATGAAGTAATATGCTTTAAAAAGATAGACAAAGCATGCTAGGAGTAGGGAGAAGAATTCTGAGTGACGGAATCAAAATTCCAGATGGTCTGAAACTGGTGGGATGGAGCTTAGTGCAGTAGTACAGAAATTCAAAGTATAAATAGAGGATGGGGAAGTGATTGGTTAGGCAGTCAGATGAGGGTGATAGAGTGATGTTACAGCGCACTAAAGAATAGATGCATCTTATCGCTGCGATTCTTGATACATTACCAGGAGTGGTGAGTATCAGACAGGCTGTTTTTCTGCTGGTTTGGGTATGGGGAGGCTGCAGTTTGGGGAAGTGTCCTCAGTTTTGGCTAATGAGCTTTAGAAAGGATGTAGACAGGCTGGAAGGATTGCAGAAGGTTGCAGTAACAGTGGCACAGTTATAGAAAATTTTATTCTGGGTAAAGACTAAAACTAAAGTGTGTTTAGTCATGGAAGTAAGGGAAAAATGTTACAGTTCTGCAAAGGGTGAGTTGATAAAGATACATTTTTGCCTTTTCGCAGAAAGTATGCAAGATGGGTAGGAAATTTTAGGTGGGATATAAGGAAAACGTGGCTAATCGGATTGATACCTGCACAACAGAACAATTGATATTAACAATGTTAGAAGTGTAATTTCCTTTCCTGGAGAGTTTTGTAGAAGAAGTTAGGAGCCTGATTCTCCTGTTTACTTCCCTGCTGTGTTTCAGGTATTTTGGTGATGATGTGCAGAAAGGTTGAGATGTCTCTTGTTTTGCTGAAGGACCGTCTGCCTTAAGTATTTGATGGATCAAGCATTAAACTCATATGTTTCTTTAATTTAGTCTTTTTTAAAAGTGTTTGAGGTGAGCTGAGGTTGAGTGGTTGGGGTGTAGTCAAATGGTTTTTAAAGAGGAACTTCATAGCTGTTTTGCAAGAGAAACTTCAGTGAATATGATTTAGGTATTGAATGGCAACAGAATTAGCATATGCCTGTGCAGACGTTTTGACTAATTAATGCAGAATTTACTGCTGTGCATCTGAAATCTTAGGGGCTTATTATACGTAAATGAAATGCTTCCTATTACCTCTGGCATAGGGGAAGTTTAAAACACATACATCCATAGAAGGGCTTCAGTATCCTGGAAAATGTCGGTGAAAGTTCATCATTACATTCATCCCAATGAGCATTTGAAAGGTAGTGAAAATTTCTGGAGGAGTAGCATCTACTTTTATTATTTCAGGACTAAGCCATGATTATTTGGAACTTGAGCTTCTCCCCTCAATAGCTAAATGAAATTTTCACAATTCCCAAGGACAGTAAGTTGTAGTATCTTTGTGAAGGTACCTATATTTTGAGCAAACTGATGTTATTAAATAAATGAATTTGAAATTTGCATCGGTAATATATACACATAGTCATTGGTTTTTTTTTGGTGGTGTTTAAAATGTCAAGTGCAAAAAAGAAAAATTAACACTTAATTGTTTCAGGTTTGTTTAATTACTGTTTCCAGTAGTTGGAGGAAAAGCTATTCAAACAAATGACTAATTTCTGGGTTTGAGAGATTGGCTCACTCTTGGAAGTTGACTTCTGGGGCTTGCATGGATGCCGAAGAGGCATAAATAGCTTCCTAGCTAGTATAAAAGCAGTCATGCTGAAGTGAAGCTGTAGTTACTTTCACAGGTTGAAGAAGTACTTAGGGTGGAATAACTTCTTACAACTACTCGGAAAAGCATTTGCAGGAAGACTTACATGTGCTCTTAGGGTACTGTCAGCAGAGATGTTGCTTGGGTTGCAGGGAGCAGTCTGAGCTGGAGGTTAAGGAGTGACATACTCTGGTTAAGGAGAGTCCTTGTTAATACTTTAATCAAACACCTGGATTTCTGGGGCTAATTGCTAATTACTAGTAAACAGAAACTTCATCTGCAATGGTTGACTCTTTTAGAAAGCCTTGAGAAAACATTCATCTCTTGCTGCATAGTTCAAAATATGTTCTACTGCTTCTTTTAGAGGTTGCTGGGGGCTTGGTTGTGATTAGATTTTCTTCTTTTTGTGTTTTTTTAGATGGATGTAATCACTTATGAATTAGTGTAATTGAAGTGACGGGGTTTTCTGGGTTTTGGGGCCTTTTTTGCAAAGGAAGCAGGTACTATTTTGAAAAACACTTTAAGAAGTCACATAGGGAAAAATGTTCTCACTGCCCTCATTCAATAAATCAGCAGTGCAGATCAGGGATGTTAATAAATACTCACTGAGATTTCTATTAAGAAAATGGTGGGATTTGGCTATTAATGTATTTTTTAAGGAAGTGTAGAGAGTGTCTGAAATAGGGATAGAGAAGAACTTTGTACCACAAATCGCAAAAGAATGTACACTAGTTGCAACTATTTTACTTAATAAAAATATGTTTCCCTTTGTAGTCCCAGGATAGTTTTCTAAGCAAAGTGCATCTCTTCACTTACAATTTGAGAGGCAAGATTAGAAGGTGTACTAGTTCAGCAGTGACAGTGTAGGAGTGTCTCTGTGCAGTGTCAGGTATGTTTCTGGACCTGGACAAGAATGCCAGGTCAGGAGCTTTCCATATGTCTGCTACATTTTGTTGTTATTATTAAACACAAGGTCTTTTTATTTTAGAAAAATATGAGGATGCTAGTGAGCATTTATGCAGTCAGACTGAATAGTGAACCTCCTGTGCCAAAAATATAGCATGTTACTGTTTGACCTAAAGACCAGGAGTGTAACTCAGATTTGTGTCTTCTAAATTACACCGAGAGGGAAGTGCAGGGTATGGGTTTCAACAGGACTGAATGCAGTATGTATGGACATACAAATATTCCCAACTATAAGCAGGCAGTTGCACTAGAGTTAGACTCCTAAGATTATTATGATTAATTGGAGAGGAAAATATTTTTTTTTCCTTCTCAAAACAACAGTGCTTTTTCCAGAATTGCCCAAAGAGGTCTGTGTCTTGGTGAAATGAATGTAATTGGCTTGACAATGCCTAAAGTCCGTAATCAGGACTGTCTTCTCTGCCAGTGACATTATCTTTCCGAGGAACAAGAAATACCACTTCCACAAAACTTTAGGTTTTTAAAAATGCAACTATTGCCTTAATAAAATGATTCATTGGTTGCTAGTAAAACCCCAAAGGGTGTTTGTCTTTTTTCCTGTCTCTCTTTTTTTTTCTTCTTTTTCTTTTTTTTCTTTTTCCTTTTTAGCGAAGCCTGCGAGTTGCCCGTTTCAGCCACCATAGGTGCCCTTCTGATGTCCCTGGTATCTCTGCCAGCTTTCAGCAGTGTTGTTTGATGACGGGCAGTATGATACTCCGTGTTTTGCCCAGTGCCTCAGCTGAGAGGCTGTAGCACATACAGAACACAGGAGCGAGAGAAAGCCTGGGTGAAAGAGCAAGCTGAATCCCTTCCTGCTGTCATCAACTGATCACCTCTGTGAGGTCTTGACTTTCCTAATGCCCATCTTCCCTTGCAGTAGGAGTACTTGGTTTCTGTTAAAGCTGGGACTCACCATGCTGGCATTTGTATGGGGGCTGAGTTCACACTTAAGAATAGCCCGTACCTCCTTAGAACTCAAGTGTGATAGATGAAATATAAATTAGTTCAGATTTTAGACTAGAGCTCTCATTTGTATTGGAGTACAATGAAGTAGATCCTGGGGTTTTGGATGTGAACATCAATCACATACGGAAAAGGATAGTTTTCTATGGCCAAAATAACTAGATATGCAGAGGGTAGTACACTGTCTAATATTCTGATTGTGACTAATAATCTAATTTATTTGCAAAAGTCACATCTGGTTATATACTAGCATTTAAAAAAAATCTGCGTTTTCTTTAAGTACAACGATATTCATTACATACAAGGGAAAACATGCTATCAGTTATTATTATCAGAAGCTTTTAACAGGAAACTGAGCAATCATTTGTCCACGTTTACTTTCTTCTATTTCATGTCTGTCTGTTCTGTGAGGTGGTATCTCATTTTTTCATAGTTACTCCTGCTTTTCTAAAATGCGTTTGACTTGCCAGCATGCTTAGTAAAAAGGCTTAATTATTCTTTGTTTTGAAATAATTGCACTTGCTTGTTTCTAATCCTTAAAATGATCTCTTCTTCCTTTAATATAAATACACTTAAGTATAATTTACTCTCTAGATTGTTAGCTCCAATTGCTACAACACAAGATACTTTCTAAACAGAAAGCTGATTTGGAGGCAGATTAAAACCACACGTGCTTGTAGTTTGGGAATTGGTTTTCAAGTTGAGAAGGTCTGCACAACCAGAAAGTCATCAGTTAGAACTGGTCTGATTCAAACTTGTCCTTGTACTGGGTTTTAGCCTCAATTGTTTCTATTTTTTTATCGCCAGGGTCCTCCAGGTCCTCCAGGTTTACCTGGTCCACCGGGAAAGAGAGGTCCTCGGGTGAGTAAAACAGCTATGTTTTTCTGTAGCTCTAGGCAGGTCACCGATAATCAAACTGGAGTTTGCATAATTTTGTTTTTCTGGACTTTATTCGTATGCCTGGTGATTATGAAAGTGTGTGATTCTTAACATTTGGCAGATAGTTTAAGTACAGCAAAGGAAACAGGGTTTTTTTTTCTGCTGTGAGTCGCCAGCATAGTTAATTCCGCGTATGGGCGCCTACGCAGTGCATTGTTACATTTGTACCTAGCTTTTGCAGCTTGCAATATTAGCTTTTAGTTTTTCCATGCTGCTCCCATCTGCTGCCATCTAAGGTCATGTTAATTTGTGTTTGGAACGAGGGGGAGTCAGCAATGCATGCCACAGCCACAGAGGAGCAGGCAGTGGATACAAAATTAATCACTGCAAGACAGAGGGGGGAAGGAAAACCCGGTCTCAAAAATCTGTTTCAGTCTCATGTGTTACAGCAGCTTGATAAAAGGGGTGACAGATATCTGGGTAATGTGCTCAAAAAATGAGCTACAGTAGCAAACATTGATTTTTTTTTTTTTTTTTTTGTGGGGCTGGGCACACCTCATGTTTTTAAGTGTAGATCTTAAGGTCTTTGTGACAGCTGAGCATGAGCAGGGATGGCAGCCCTGCCCTGTGCCAGGGGACAGAGCACGGGCTTTGCCGCAGTGAGCAGGAACCCGCGCCCCAGCTGCCAAAAGCGTTGGGGAAGCCTGTGCCAGCGCAGGGACTAGTTGATGGGGCAGAAGAGGGCAAATCTGTGTTTGCACAATTATGTACAAAAAAATGATTGAGGAGTCCCTGAGGTCATGATTGATTTGGGGGTTTTCAGGGGAAGGGCAGCTGGAGGGAACAGGTTAGCATTTGTTGTGTAGAAGATTTCGGGCCATTTGGGGATGTAAGTGGTTATGGCTGGAGTGCACTCATCTAGGCAAATCGCAAGTGGGAGATGGGGGAGTAGTTTATATGAAGGCTCAGCAGACGTGTGGGAGGAGATTTGACTCAGCCTTTGAGGAACGTTTAAACAAGCTGCTGCTCAGTAGTGTGTTGAACATTGTGTGCTTTGCCGGCTTTCAAAACTTGGTCTGACTGGGTAGGAAAATGCACTGGTCAGAGGGGTCAAAACCAAACGGGTACATTAGAGCAGCTGAAGAAAAGGGAGTGGATGAGACACATTTAAAAGTATAAAATGAAAAGCATTCCTTCAAATCCGTATCTTCCTGCCTTCTTGTATCCTTTTTTCAAATTATCCTTCTACATAAGAACTGACAATTCTTACAACTCAGCTCTTTGTGTTTCGTAGTGCCTCTGTCAGGGATATGTCTGACATCGGAGGCAGAAACCCACATATCCAAGCAGATCCTCACAAGTGGGAAGTTGTCTTTGGTTTAGAGGAGGCTACCCATGTTTAAAGCCATGTCTGTTGGTGAGATCGCTCTTGCTCAGGTGTTGTTTGTTTGGAGTTTTTACTCTGCAGGTCTTTTTTTACAGGTATAGAGTACTGAAGAGCACAGTACTCTACTGTGTGAGTCTTCTGGAGTGATTATTGAGCGGAACATGCCTTCCAATGTGAGGAGACAGCTTACAGTAGGATGCCTGGAAGAGTATGGAAATAGCTGATATGACTATTTACCAGTATTTCTGAGTTTAAAATACCTATTTATGTGGACCAAGAAAGTCTATAAAACAATTTGATCAAAGAAATTTTTTTTTTTAAATGTCAGTGCTCTGTAGTTCATACAACACTGATAAATTCAAGCAGGTGTAACTGGTGAAGATACATGATATGATAGAGGAGTTTTTTGAGGCAAAAAGCATGTAAAACCTTGTTGATGCAGAGTTCATGTTCACATCTACCAGTCTGCCCTGTGACTTCTGTCTTCCCTCACGTGAGCTGCCATTTGTGATCCTGAAATGTGACTCGAGGTGTCAAAGGGAACAGCAGAGTGCAGAGCTGCATTGCCCAGGCCTTCTTCAGGGTCCCCTGGGTCTGTGTCCAGACTTGATCCCGACAGAGATTCACATGGGTTGGACACGTTGGGCATGGTGTCAATGCCTCATTGATGGCTAGAGATTTCCATTAAAAACGGATTTTGATCTCTGTAATTCAATGGTAGAGAAGTCCACATCTGACAATTAAGTTTTTCTAAGTGTCTTGGCTTGTTCTGAGTTTCTCAAGAATGGTATTTCAGCAATTTCAGAATTAGTCAGGGATGAGATGAAATTCCCCTGATGCCTCTTACTTCACGAGGATACTTTTGCACCTCTCTGTTGCAATACTGTGCCCCAAGACAATAACATTACAAGCAGGAAAACTGGGAGCCACTTCAGCACTGCAGCTAGGTTGGCACTGCCTGTTGGTTTCCTTTCTGCTAAATCCCTGAGAGCATGTCCAGAGTTGCCAGTGTGCAAACTAATCTTTCAAACAGCACATGGGATTAGCGTTTCTGTGGTGTTATGTCAACATTGTCACTAATGAGAGGGAGCACTTAACAGGTACAGGTTTCAGTGTTACTGCAAGGTATAACTGGTAAATTCAGCCTTATGTGAAGGACAGACAAACACCGAGCTTATCTGTTATAAGACTACAATATATGAGAAAACTGAAAAGGATTTTTATTATATTTGGTATTTGGATAATTGTTTGTGTGGAGTTTTGGCCTTAGTGAATTCAACAAAAGCTTTGTTGCCACCTTATCAGGGATAGGTTTCCATGAGTTTGGTCTTTCAGTGTTAGGAAGATCAATAGTTGCTGACAGTTGTTGCAACCAATATTTTCCCTAATACACAGCTTGTCAAGGAGTGAGGATTGTGGAATGTATTCCAGGAACAGAAACTTATCCTGATAGCCTGTTCTGTTCCCAGAATGTTTTAAGTCCGACTCTTTTAGTAACAAGCCCATTTTCTACATGGGCTATGGGAGAATTGGGTTGGTGAAGGGTTTTTATCTGTGTTTTTTTTTTAGAGAACATGGAATGTGTTGCTTTGAGTCATCTTTTAAGTCATTGAGAACTGATCCACTTTCTTCTCTTTGCAGTGGATAGCTGGGTACCTCAGAATGTGATTTTTCTGATTTTTATCCCATGCCTCCAAGTTTTGTAACTGGAGAGCAACGTTGCAGTGACTGTGCGCCAAATACTTGTTAAGAATTACTTGGGAAGACAATAGAAATGGAGATTTTTAAAAGAAAGGGAAGTACTCAACTTCACTTTTAATTTTTTTAGGAAGAGATGCGTGTGTTGTTTCTTGAGAATCCTTTGAAAATCCCAAATGGTGGTTGTAAAAGCAACAATGATGCAGTAGAATAGTTTTCTACAAACTGTTCATACTTGTTCAGTGGAATACTGAATAATCCTACTCTTTATTTGTTTTGGTTTTTTTCTTTTTTTTTATAGGGTATTCCAGGACTACATGGTAATCCAGGTTTGCCAGGATTGCCAGGTCTAAAGGTGAGTTAATTTATTCATGTTGCCATGTAAATACATGAACTTCTTAATGACTTTTTGGAAACCCCAGAACTGTTTGCTATAATAGGAGCAATTGGCCTTCTTTGGTTTACAGATGAAGACTGTTAATATAAACATACTTTGATTAAATGTAATCAATCAAATTGAACTTAAAACCAAAGCAAAACAGCAGTTTATTCAGGGGAAGAAAAAACCCAACCCTGTGTGCACAGAATGATGACCTGAAAACTGTTATCCATGCAAGTGGTCTGTATTTCTCAAAAGAGTTCCTGTAAATAAGCTCGACCTCTTTGATAAACTGGAATTTAAGTGAGAATAAATATTTAATTTCTGTAACCTTTAGCCTTGTTTTTTTTCTTTTTTTTTTTAAGGAAGAAAAATAGAGGGTCATTCTTTATAATCCCTCTTCTTTTGTCAGTGCCCAACCCTTGACATTCATTCTAATATTTCAGACATTATCACTTGAGTGATATGCTAGAATAATTTTCTGAAGATTTATGGATGTGATATTTGAAACCAAAGAAGAAATGCTAGACTGGAAGTTCAAATAAAATCCTTCAAACTTGTGTAACGTAGGCCCTTTAAACAGATTTGACAGATCTGTGCAGTTGCAGAATGCCTTCAACTCATATTTAGTTTGAACAGTTTGATAGATATGTTAGGAAAAAAAAGCAGCAGCAACCATGATTTGTTTTAGTGCAATTCCTAATGGCAGGAATCTGACCTGTCATGACAGGTGTTAAAAACTGCTTGAGGACATAGAAAGAAATTTAATAAAGCTTTCGGTGTCAAACACTGTAAAACCAAGTGACTCTGTTTTGTATGTGTGCTTTGTTATTACCTAGTTCTGTAGGAACAGTTAAACTTAGAAATCCATAATTAATTTTTCCAATACTTACGCTGACTGTGTAATAGAATACAACACTAGGAAAATAATTGTAACCCATTACTCCTAGAATTTGTTTTATAATGTGCTTTTCCCCTCTGCTGAATCATAATTCTGATCAGTTCTGTAGCAGTCTTCATGATTTTAAGAATAGAAGGAATTATATGTGTGTGTATGTACATACATATAAATATATTTTATATAAATACATACATATGTATTACTAGGTGCTTAGCAATATCCTTCATTTCTGTTAGACTATAAATTATCCTTTCAATAGACGTATCTTCTGAAACACTTTTAAATAAAAATTAGCAAGGTACTCACTAAGTTTGACCATGAAGATCCAGTTGACCCCCACTGACTATGTAAGCTGAAATGAAACATCTGTTTGATCTTAAAACACTGCAGATGAGTTGCAACAATTTTCTTGTAGTAAATTAATGCAGAATTTTATTCTCCTGTGCTGAAGCATCCTTTATGCACTTGCTTTTGAAGTGTGGAACAACGTTAGCTGATACCCTTACAGTATAATATCTAGCCCTGGAAGTGTGCTAGCAGTTCCAACCGATAGCTGATGTCCTCAGGATTTAATTCCTGATCAACTGTTGGTGGGTGCTTTTGAAGTCATTTAAAAGTATTCATGAGGTCTGGCTGAATTCCTGCAGTTCAGAAAATCTAGTTTGTGGATTCTGGCACTGTTCTAACTACACTGTAATGATACATAGATTAAATAATGATGTGCTTTATTTTATCCTCACATCTTGACCTGTGGTGACATGTTGTTAATCCACAACTGAAGGCCATGCATAACAATGGATGTTTGGTTTTTAGATTAAAAATAATGAGGAATTAATTATGCTTAAGGGAAAGGAAGGGTAATGATCAGAAGGCCTGTGTTTTAACTAACCAAGAGCTGATCACATTTTTATTACAACTCTTAGTTTAATATACCTGCACTGGAAAATGGAAGCAAAAGACAGATTGGAGTTGTTCAAGGAATATAACTATTTACCTTCCAAAAGGGAAATCATCTGGAAAATACTTGGATGACTCCTGCCATGCTGAAGAACAGTGTTCTCTCTGACCTGACACATCAATTTAACACAACGGATTCATTTTGCCATATTCCCAGGCTTTATTTAGTATTCAGCAGGCTTAGTTTCTGAAGTGGCCTTGCGCGTACAAACCTGCGCTGCAGAGGGAAGGGTAGCCCTGATCTGCAACGCCGTGGGCAGGAGGAGGCTCGGGCCCCGCAGCATGTCGAATACAGGCCTGAAATGGTTGACCGTCAGCAAGCCACGCTGCTCGCCTCGTACGTGCCTCCGAGCGCCCGGCGTGGGCCCTGAGAGTGCGACTGTGCTGGCTGCGTCGAAACGGCTGGCTTTCCCAGCTTCAGCTTTCCTTCAGTGAAGGGCACATACCATCTTTAGTCTAGTGCCGCTGAGGTATAACTTTAGTTGTAACATTTATTTCCTTGGCTAAGTAAAACGTATTTTTGAGTGAAAAGAGCAGATCTTGATGCTTGTGGGTCACACCCAGTGTTACTCTACAGCTTTGGAATCAAGAGCATCGCTGTAGCCTGTGCCATTTGTATAAACAGGCCAATGAAATGTTACGGTGCCTTTTGCGTGCAGCCTTTAGGATGAATTAGACCGAGGGTCTTCCCATTTCCTCCTCAGTTACTTTATTTTCAGTTATCAGCGCGTGAATGTGGCTTCAGCCGATGGCTCTGGGAACTCCCCAGTGACTGCTCTGTTGGCGTGAGGCAGCTCACTCAGGGTGGTCTGGGGGGTGCCGTTTGCTGGTGACCCCTGTTTTTAGGGGCAGTGAATTTTCCCCTGCGG